CAACATTTTTTAAACTCTTCTCTCAATAAATTCCGCATTTCAGAATCAATTATTCATGTATTTTACGTAATTTAACAACACCTCAATAAAGATTTACCTCTTTTTGGTAATTTGACAATACCCAATATGTATCCTTTGGTCCTTTATAAAGATTTCTCGTCCCCTGGCCAAACATGGGGCCTAACGAAATTGCCCTTCCCCCATTCGAAGAACACACAATTTTTATATTTTTTCCCACTGAGTATGACAAAAACACATTAAGAGTGTGCAATCCCTACACATTTTTTGCACAGTGAAGATCCATTAGGATAATTCAGCGCAGATTAGAGGTCTCAAACGAGATAGTGTTATAGGTATAGCTTCCTCTGTTCGTATTGTGCGACTTCCTTGCCCTGGAACTGAATTCACATAATGCTCGAATAGCTGCTCCGGGGCGGAACAACCGATGCTTTCGTCCGCTTCCACAGCTGCCTCCAAGCCTTCCAATCCACCAAAAACAACCAAAATTCGACTAAAATTTATCTCAGCTAATCTTCAATCATTAATAAAAAAAAGGTTTTCCTTTTAGAATGCAATGAGTGCTTTTGAATCAGAAACCAAACAAAACACTGTTTTGCAAAAATAAACCAAACGGCTCAAGATGTTAAGGCTTAAGACGCACGAGTATTTGAATGAAATCATGTCTTTCCAACTATCAGCTGAGCCAGCTTCTGTTCATATTCTTCCACCAACTCATGGACAGAAGACAGAGGACAATTCGGCACAACTCCATCTCCCTCTTGATATTCTTATCAAACCAAAAAAAGAATTATTATAAAAAAAATATGCATGAAAATAAGAAATCTGTTGCAAACAAAGTTTGTTTTGCAAGAAAACGGACCAGACGGGAATGGGACTTCTTATCATTCTCACCATCGTCGGATCCTTCGAATCGTGATGTGCCCTTCATTACACAACCTATCCTTGTGCCCCACAGATCGCAGTTGGAGTATATGAATCTGTATATACGGCACCTGCACAAGCGGATATTTTGTCGACTTTATGCGACCATCTGTGACAAAAGTGATGTATTATGACTTCCTCCTAGATAGGGCATGTAATAGCACGAAGTGGCCTATATAAGGCCGCTGTTTCTGTGCTACAGGGCAGTGTTGTCAGTGTCGTGGCAGTTTGTGTTGTGCTGTGTAGCGATGTCTTGCGCAGGCGACTAAGGATTCTATCACTCCGAACTCCCGCCATGCAGCCGACAATTCAGTTCGGCAAGCCAGAGCCCCGGAAGAGCCCAACAAGAATGAGCTGCCGAGTACCCGAGCCAACGAAAGTCCTCCATCAAAAACAACCGAGAAGTAAAGATCAGCTTACTTTTTTTCAGAAAGTGGCAACTGAAATTCGTTTAATGGCTTTCCCCGCTCAGATGTTCCTATGATAACGTCGTACTCTTCACCATACAAAGCGTCATGAAGACTGAGAGCAATGCGCACCTTATATCCCCAATACAATCCCGACTCACGCTTTATCTGTTGCGAATCAATCAAACTTCCATGGTATCTGTGCCGTCCTGCAATTCTGGAAGTTTCTGACTCCGAAATTCTGCCGGATTTTTTAAGAAAAAGACCTGTCGAAATTTTTTAAGAGGATTTTTACACAAGCCACCAATCTAAATCTAGAAAAAGATCAATTAAAACAATCGCCAAAATTTCATTCATTTCATTCTCCAAAAAGAAGGCAACTGTAAGTCTTTTAAGTGTTAGTACTTTACCAAAAGAAACAACTAACAAGGCCACCGAGAGCTTCTTCTCGCAGTGCTTGTGAAAACAGTTTTGGCTTCTTAGCACTGGATAGTTTATCATTAAAAAGAATTTAAAAAATCGCATAGAGACTGGTTTTTTCATCGCGAGATTGGAAATGACAGGTCGGAAATACGAAGAGATGCAACTTTCTAATACAACGAAGAACTTTTAACTCAAAAGTACCTGTATGTAAATTAGATATTTTGACTGTGACACGAGAGCCTGGTTCCACCGATACTTTTCCATCAATTTTTACTACCTGAAATCAAATCCAACATTTTTCAACATCTGCACTACCACACTAACTACTATTACATAGAATAGTTACAAATCCAAAGTTACTATCTTAAAGGTGCAACTGGCAAATTCCTCAACTACTATTGGTCAACACTACGCATCACAATAATCAACCTGCTGACAGTTCTGAAATACATTTTATCTCCCTAAAGTACTATAAGTGACTCAGCAATTCTCACGACAAAAGCAATGATAAGGCTTCTTGGTGCATTCCAAGTCCTATCACTCCATTTAAAAAGTGGTCTACTTTTATACCATGGTGGAATATCTTGCTGACTTTGAGAACGCTACCGTAAAAACTGAAAAAAAAAGGAAATTTTAATC